TAAGATAGGTATAGGTAGGTAGGTAGGATTATATATAACTATTTATATTATATTATATAATATTGTATTATATTGTATTATATTGTATGTTTTATGTAATAAATGTGTAATAGAATTGTATTCTATTGTAATGTATAAAACAATTGTAAAATGAAACTTGGAAATAGAAAACACACTGATCAAGAGTTTTAAATAAAAAAGCAAAAGCTATATTTCTTGGAATTGCAACTTTTCAGACATTTATATTTGTGTGCCGTTAAAACACCTTTGTATAATATACATGGTTTTTTATGTATTTTGTATCTATATATATATATGTAGTATTTTTAAGAAAATAAAATAAAATTTATAAAGCACAGAGCAGCAAATGATGATGTAAAAGGAGATGATATTTGACTACACTCCACGAATTCTGATGTTGCTCGCTTAAATAAGATTCTTTTCTTGACTATCACATCTTTTCTGGTATATCACATTTATGTTGTACGAAAAGTTGCAATGGTTTTTCTTATTCTTTTCTGTTTTCCTTTCTCATCTTCTCATCACGAGATCAGTCGTTTTAAATTTCAACAAAATCAAATTCACGCTCTCGAATATATTCACACACTTAAAGAAAGTGACCATTTAAACTCACATAGTGCACATAGCACAGAATATAACCGCACCCTGTGGACATAGCGCACCGACGTGTCGCTCGTGGACTGGCTGCGTAGTTCCAATGTGTACTACTCGTGGACATGCGCTAGTTTACGGGGTGGAAAGGTGATTACACATTCTCTTATGGACCTGGCCGCTCTCAGGCTTCTCTCTGGTTGCAGAATAACATACGGATAATTAGCGGAAGTTCTTCGAAGCCTACTAGCCAATAATAAATCTCTAAATTAGCCAGTATATATATGGTTACGTTCAGAAAACTCAACGTTTGAGAGATCATCAACATTATGATAGGACTGTTCTTCAAAACCGGCATAGGTTCCGAAAGTATGATCCAATCATAAGTGATTATCTCTCAACAGTTGTGCAACTGTTGAGTTGTCTGAACACACCCAGTGTCGCCTGTGTACGTAGCTAGAAAGCACCCACTGTGTAACAAACAAGACCTGTCCATTAAAACGTGATTAAAGTCACATGACAGGAAAGAGTAGAAAAACAACACGTGACTAAGATAATGTGACTGTAATGTATATTATACATAACATTAAATAATATATATGATATAAATAATATATTAAATAATATATATTATACATATAATTTATTATATATTTATAATGTGATACTTTACATTATATATTATATATATTATATACATACTACCGTAAGGTCACTGACCTCGGTCGCGTGACCGCGGCGGGGTCAATGACCTTGGCCGCGCGACCGCGGCGGGGTCAATGACCTCGGTCGCGCGACTGCAGTGGAGTCACTGACCTCGGCCGCGCGCCCGCAGCGGTGTTACTGACTTCGGTCATGTGATTACGGTATATACATATATACATATATATATACACATATGCGTATGTGTGTGTATTATATAGATACAGAATATTACATATAATATTCTCTCTTTTATCCTTTTCCCTGTCACGTGACTTTAGTCACGTGTTGTTTTTCCACTTCTCTCTCTCACTATTTTTTGAGTTTGATTTTTATGCGTTATTTCGAACATTTCTCATATGTATATTATATATATATATATGGTTTATAAGACGTATATACTATCTGTCATCGCGGTGACAGGTTGTGTTCACTGACAACACGTTAAACAAAAATAACAATAGCGTGTGCGCGTAGCGCGCGCCTGTGTTGTGCTAGTATATTTAAATTACACTCTCTACCGTTTATAAGTTATAAAAAAATATAAATTAAAAACTTAATAAAATATATTGTACTTCCTCCCTTGTAAACTGAGTATATTTAGATATTAGCGATTTTTTATTGTCTTTAGTAAATAAGAAAAAAATGTAAGTCTACAGAATTTTATGCAATTTTCTTTGCGCAGTCTCGCTACGTAATTATAAGCATATCATACTTGCGCAAAGAAATCATTTCATTTGTTGTGAGATCATAAGTTTACACTTACGTCGTCAAGACGACGCATTGACTTTCTTACTGTTAAGACATACGTGTACTTGATCCGACAAATGTATCGTTGACAGTAACAATCGTCAACGTATCACGACACGTATCGCTTTTGCAAAAATGTCTCTACACTCGGCACCTATCTTATATTTAAATATGGGCGGTGAAATGTTGTACGTTCTGCGACAGAGGCTGACAAAATTAAAGAAGATCGACGTTGACAAGACAGCACAAGGTAAAATTGTAATTCAAATATTTGGAAAAGTTATATATATATATATATATATATATGTTAAATGTGTTTTATATAAATTTATTTTTTGTTTTTACAACATGTATAACATTAGATATTTTTGTGTCATGTTTTTTACTATATATATATATTTTACAATATAAGAAAAAAACATATATATGTATAAAAAAATTCCAAAATTATTTTTCATATATATATAACACGGGTTGAATTTTTACAGTATTAGACAATATAACCAGCAATTTGCTAAATTCCAAGATATTATCGTCGATGTTCGAAAAGTCGCCGATGGTTGACATGTTGCAATTGCGTCATATTTTGGAAAGCGTCGCTCTTTCAACCATAGTAAAGCTGGATAAAAACAGCATGGACAAACTGTTCGATTTGATGATCATGATGGTAAAGTATCAATTAACGGTGGCCACCGGACCCAGGGAAGTTGTTTTCATTACCTTGAATCACTTAGACGCGATGCGCGCCATGGTCAGCGACGTGAACGCGCAGGAGTGCGTCAGTCTGGTGCATCAGATGGTCGTAGATGTGAGTACATACGTTAATTGATTATTTAATGATATTCAAAACAAAAAAACTATTCTTTTTTACGCGTACAGTATTATGGTTGCTTGACCTGTGAAGAAGTGTGGCTTGCGCGACAGTGCTGTCTGAAGATATTGGAACCGTATAACGTACGACTCTCGATCCTTTTGCGATACGGTCTGCAAAACGCGGACGCCAGCTTTAATATGACGCTTCGCGGGTACGACGAGAAATACACAGAGAAGAAAAACATCCTGGCTAATATAAGATTAAAAGACGTGAATCCTGAAACAAGTTGCGACGGATCCTTCGATCAATTCGGCGACAGAAAAACTATGTTGGGCAAGAATATGTAAGAGACAGTGTTTTTTTGCGGTAATGTTAAAATTGTGGCGCTGAGAATAATTGTATCGTTCTACTCGCAGATATTTGCCAACGTATGGCATAACGGACAATACAAAACGAGACAGTCAACAGTTCTTGAGAGACTCTGGAAAAGGAGAGTTGGGTATGTTAGCCATTCAGCTGGGTACTGAAGAAGCCAATTACGAACGTCCGTTTACTCTCAATCTGCTATCAAACGCGGACGAAGAGAACGCGAATAATGTGAAAGACGAAATCAAAATCGATGGGGAAACGGTTAAACGAAATAACGAAGAAATTAGAAAACCCAAGTTAAATGAAGACTACAAAGCCAAACTTGACAATGTGTATGCTGATTTTTTTGAAGACGAGAGCGAGCTGAAACGTAGCACGAATCTGCTCGATCTTCTCGATGAGATAGAGTAATCTAGAACTTGACGACTGATAAAACGTGTCACCCATCGCAAAATTATTCTTTTCTATACTTCCTGCATATTTATACACCAGTACATATATATATATATATATATATAT